TCAGTATAAAGCATTGATAGTATCGGTATAAAGCATTGATAGTTTCATTATAAAGGATTAATAGTATCAGTATAAAGCATTGATAGTATCGGTATAAAGCATTGATAGTATCAGTATAAAGCATTAATAGTATCAGTATAAAGCATTAACAGTATCAGTATAAAGCATTGATAGTATCAGTATAAAGCATTGATAGTATCGGTATAAAGCATTGATAGTATCAGTATAAAGCATTGATAGTATCAGTATAAAGCATTGATAGTATCAGTATAAAGCATTGATAGTATCAGTATAAAGCATTGATAGTATCAGTATAAAGCATTGATAGTATCAGTATAAAGCATTAATAGTATCAGTATAAAGCATTGATAGTATCAGTATAAAGCATTGATAGTATCAGTATAAAGCATTGATAGTATCAGTATAAAGCATTAACAGTATCAGTATAAAGCATTGATAGTATCAGTATAAAGCATTGATAGTATCAGTATAAAGCATTGATAGTATCAGTATAAAGCATTAATAGTATCAGTTTAAAACATTGATGATGAACATCCTATGTAATTTGTCTTTCATTGTTCTTGTTTTGTTTCGTCAATGTAGTTTGTCCTTGTTTTTGTTTTAACATCCAAATTGTAAATGTCTTTAATTATTAGTAATCTGTAACATGTAATTTGCAACATTTAATGCAACCTTAATTTGAATCAAATATGTTTAATGTAATGGCCACAGGGTTGCTGTGTATTTCCATGCTCCCTGTGGTATCGTCTTGTAATTGTCTGTTTTGTCAAATTTTATGAGAATATAAAAAAAAACATTGATAGTATCAGTACAAAGTATTTCTGAACGACGTTTTAAGACACTACGTTTCTTCATTCAGTGAAGTACAAAATTAACATTTGCTCGAGAAGAAAGCCAAAACTGAAAAAACATCAATTTTATGTCATATGTTGGACTGACTATCTTTCAAATCCTCCATAAAGTTCACTCATGCATGTGTCGCTAAAACAGTACACTGCATGCATGCCTATCGGCTCGAGCCCGAGGAAAACATCTTTAGGGGGCCAAGAAGGATTAAGGTTGCTAAGTCTTTTATTAGCTTCAAGCGCCAAAATTCAAGCGCCAAAATTCCAGTTTCTAATTTTTTGATGCTTGAATTCTTTTTAACGTGGCGAGAGCCTCCTTGCTTTTGACAAATTGGCAGTTTGAACAAAGTTTTAAACTCTTTTATCTGTAAACCTGCTTGTTTTTAGAGGTTTGGCCACTCATCTGAAAAATGAATTTCCTCCTCTGAAGTAATGCAAAGATGATCTTTCACGCCTCGGAAAACTGAAGGACTGAAGTAGCACAGGGGTCTGTGTTGGGCCTTTTTCGTTCAAGGGTCTTAGATTATGACTATTTTCGGTACTGAATAATACATTATATTGATTATATCACCAGTGGCATGGTGGCTCCAACTGGCTAGGGGGGCATCAACCTTTTTTGGCGCCCCCTTAAGTTAAGCCTATGGTGCAACTCTAGCCGGGCGGGCGGAATTTGATTGAAAATGGGGGGCACAATGTTATCATTGTTCATAGGTTTCATTTAGGTCGCCACCAAAATTTTTAATGTTTAGCATTACAGGGACTGCTGGAATCTGGATCCTAGGCAGTATCCATAAACTTTTTTCTATCATTATGCCATAATGTTTAGATGGTACATTACTAAATTGATTAAGTATAGAATTCAAACCGTAACAATCATTACGCCAAAAATCTTAAGAATCTTAAAGGGTGTAGTGAAAACCACCACCAAGGTTGGCGCCACGATAAATTTTGAAAGTACATCTTTCTAGGGATGACACATCGCTTTAGACCCAATGGAGATATAAGAAAATATTTATAAGCATCATTTTTTGCTTTGTAAAGTTGAAGCATTATTTTTCAAAATCAGATTGTTAAAATGTCCCATAGTGTTTGTGTCTCACTTCCAACCTCCGTGAGGTCAAACAAGTCAGTGGGTAGCTCATGGATGTTCGGTAACTAATAGTAGATTGCCAAGAGATGCTGGGATGTCATCCCTACCCTGGGTTGCAGAGTGAGAAGGGTTCCGCACGGGTTGCAAAGAAGGTGTTTTGGTGCGAGAGTGTGGAGGAAGAAAGAAAGAGACGAGCGAAAGAAGTCTTTGTAACAAAACGGTTCTCTGCCACATAAATTTATGGAGACCTCATTTACAACATATGAAACGACGACTCAAAATAATATACTATCTGTTAAGAACTCAATTTTCCACTCTCATTTTACCATGATTACTACAATAACACCACTGAACAAACAATGATAACTAGCAATGATAAATCAGCCGCTTTATGCAACAAGATTACCCCAAATACGCAATCATAATGATAACACTTTAAGCACATGAAACATAATGGAACAGTCTTCATATCGAATTATGCGCCTCTTCAGAGCTCAGCTATTTCAAGTGGCCTTCTTCGTTCACATGTGTTTTCCACGTGACTTTGGCATCCCACTGAAGAGCTGGATCGCCTTCGGCGCCCCCTGATTCTTTGCCGATGTGTAGCAGTGGCGGAAATTCAGGCTTTCATTTGGGGGGGCCAGGCCTACGATTTTCCGACAAGATAACATTTTGGATCGTATCTAATTTTAAGGAAACTGCACAGTTCGGTGAAAATAGGTGACTTTTGGGCGGGACCCTTAAGAAATCTTTGCTGACCACGCCATAATTAGATAGCAAGAAAAACAATCCATTTATGATTTTTGATATCAAGATCGTGTAACGGTTTGGATTTTATATTTATTAAATTCCAATTCCCGTACCAAGTCGCATGTTCAGTTAAGTCCTGTTGTGTTAATAAAGGCCTTTTTTATGGCAATGTGTTTGTCTTTCAACATCCGTTTACGTTATGTTTTATTAGTATGTGTTAATCCCGATATAAGTTAGTCTTTCTGTTGAATCATTAGAGTTAAGATCAAAGAAGGAGGAGCATCTTTTGTGCGTTACTTGTTCGGGGCTTAGGCCCTTTGGCCTAGCCCATCGCTCCACCAACAGCGGTTAGACACCGGTTATTAACCGTCATAAGAAGAGCCCTTGATCGTTACATTCGATATCTCATCAGGCAATTGATGATACAAGAAGTCGACGATTACACTTTTGACAAGTTGTTTATGATAACAACATGATTGTAATTGTAACGATCATTTTCTGCATTTTATCTTGCTTCAAATAACTTTTGTATATTTGTTTACGTTTGAATACGTTTGAAAATAACTTTTGTTTGGAAGAAACCGAGATGGAAAGTTCAGCTAATTTTTAAGGAATTGAAATTAAACATACATTTCGCAAGCAGTTTTGATTTTTCTCATATATTGTTTGTTTGATTATTTAGTACTGGCTAATATTTTATCAGCTATGTTCAAATTTTGCAGAAAGGGTACAAGAGTAGTTGCAGAGGCCCCTGGGGTAGAAAGGGTTAATGAGGATCACCTGCGAGCGAAGAAAATTTGGCAAACACGCCCCTTAGATTAGCTCAAAATTCCATTTCTGAACGTTTTCTCGGAGTCATTTCGACATGTTGAACGGTTGTCAAATATCCGACGAAAACCCAAATTTTCCGACGAGATCGCTGATCGGAAATTTCCGCCAATGCTGTGTAGTAGGATTATATGTCATCATTAACATACTTAATTATTATGCTAACCTCGCTTTTGTTTGTATATAACACTTTTGTTTAGTAATTCAGTCAGTGATTAACCTCAACACGAGTCGCTCGCTTTCTGTTTTCACTCTCGAACCAATTCGTTGACTACTCGAAGTGACAAGGGTTTTGGAGGAGGTCTAATCCCTGTTACACAGGAGGGGGGGGGGGTGGTTGAGAGATGCAAAACTATATTTTACCGACAGAAGCTCTTTTGTTACATTTGACATAAAATTATTTTGTTGAAAATGTAAATCTACCGCTGCATTCACATAATAGATATAATCATTTAAATAGTTCTATAGCTGCTAATATGACGTACACTAAAAGGTGTTTGAATTAGTTAAAAATAAATCTTCCTGTTTTTCCAATTTATGGAAATGTATCACTGAATTACTTGATAAATCCAAATAAAGTGATAGCAAAGACAGTCAGAAAGTCAAACCTGATGTTCCTACAGACTGCCAAATAATAACTGTCAAACTGTAGTATGTTTCCTTTACAACAGTGTACAGAATGAGAAGGAAAACAATGGGCAGCCCCCCCCCCTCCCCCAATATGAATTTCGTTCTGACGGCACTGTAATTCGTTGAATGCTAAAAGATGTTATCGTTTCAAGGAAATAGAAAGGGCTCTCTTAGAAGCCTTTCGTTGTATCTCTCTCTTGCCCTATTTGTGGAAGATCTTGATCATTTCTGCCCTGACATATAGATCTTCAATCCGCCTTTAAATCAGCTCAAATTATGTAGCGCTTTCTTGGACAACTTGATTTCACTAATGATTTCACCTATTTTTACAAATGCAAATCTATGCTTATGTATCTATTTTTCTAGCAATGAGGCTAATATTTTTTGAAACGCAAACGACACATACCTTGTGAATTTTTCCTGTGAATTTGCGGATCAAGCAGTCGGCGAAGAGCTATGGGATGTGTTGCCACGAAATAAGCATGGTTTATCAACAGGTGCCACGATGTAGAGATGCATTTTTTTCTGGGATCTGCGGTCGCCATAGTGAAATTGTTCTCAACGTATTGTTTTAGACATAAAGTTCTCACTGAAGGTGACATTTGTTTACCAAGGGATCTATTGAAATACTTTGAAATCAATCGAATTTGGTTTACGACTAGCTTGCAATGAGGTTTATGGACACCATCTTTCTTCGCCGTTTCATATACACATCAACTGTGTAAGCACGGAATTGAGACGAGAATGAGCAAGACGCCATCTTTAAACCGACTGATACCGATGAGCAGCAAGAAGTTAAAAATACCGGCGAAGTTCATATTTAAAATTGCCTTAGGAATATTCGCCATTGGACAAGTTGGCTGGATCTTCCTCGATTTTTATCACCTTACGCACGGTGGGTGTCTTGCACAGAATGAATAATGAAGACCATTCCCGAAGTCTTCAATGAAATGTCTTTGGCAAAAATTTGATGATTCATTCTCAGTGAGCGGTAGAAATGCCTGCAATGGCAAAAGCAGTATATATTTTCTTCAATTCGTTCTAGACAATTCGTCTGCGCAATCAAAGATTAGCATAAGAAATGCAAACCATTCGGATGTCTTCAGCTTGGACAGATTTGGTAGACCGATTTCAAGAGAAGAGGTGCAAATTTCAAGTGGGAATTACATAAGTGGCAAAAAATGTAAGTAATGTTTTATCAAAAATTTATTAGTTCTTTTCCACGACAAGATTCGGGGTTGGGAATAAACGAGAGCTGAAATGATTGAAATTCTACGCAAGGGGGCGGTCATAGAATATCAACTATAAGGGGGTGGAGGATTTTCCTCAGAATATTTTTGCAAGCTTGTGTAATACTGCTAATTTTAGGCCTTTCTCTCTAGTGCAAGGGCAGTGGCTATTGTCGGGCCTAGGGCCGGCTTTAGAATGGAGAAGTAGGGCGACTCCTTCCCTCCACTAGCCTGGGTGTTCACAGTTGGGGCTGTGAACTCTGATAGCATTTGCTATCCTACCCGTAGCCCCCCGTGTCAGGGTACGACAATGGCGGTTCTGGCTACCAACTCGACACCAGCTCCGGCACTCGGCAGTGATGTCTTCGTCAACTCGGCAACATCGCTGGCACCCGGCATGAATGCACTGTCAACTCGGCAACATCCATGGCAAAAAAGCAACAGAAGCATCATGCAGTTGTCTCAACTTTGTTGTGCCACTGGTCAACGTGATCTTCTGCCAAGGGACACTATCGTGCACCGTTTAGTGTCGTCATCGTAGGTGCAGCCTCACTCAAATAAAATGATGGAAGCAGATTTGAATTTAACCGACCAAGCTACCGCATCCGGGGCAACCGATGCGCCACAGGTCACGGCCGTGGTGAAAAAGAAGCGAAATCCGTTCAAATCACTCTATCTAAAGCTCGGTGCCTGGAATGTAAAAACAACAAATGACAGCGATGCTTCGATCAGACCAGAACGCGCGACAGCCATTATATGTAAAGAACTCGAAAAGTCGTCAATCGATATTTGTGCACTAAGTGAAGTTCGTCGACCTGGAACAGGGAACCTTGTGGAGAAAAGTCATACAATCTTTTGGAGTGGGAGTGACAAGAAAGAAGCTGGTGTTGGCTTTGCGATACGCAACAAACTTCTTATCCAATCCGATCTGAACCCAATCCCTATAAACGATCGTCTCTCAACACTGCGAGTATTGTTAAAAGATAACGATTATTTGACGCTCATCAGTGTGTATGGACCCACCATGCAAAGAAGTCAAGAGGAAAAAGAACAGTTTTATGAACAGTTAGGTGATTGCTTAGAGAATGCTAGAAACGACAGAATAATTGTGCTTGGTGATCTAAATGCCCGTGTTGGAAAAGATTGGTCATCTTGGCCCTCCATAATCGGTAAACATGGTATTGGAAATATGAACTCCAACGGTCTCATGTTGCTTGAATTTTGCGCCAGACACCAATTATCTGTCATGGGAACCATGTTTCAATTGAAAGACTCTTTAAAAACCACTTGGCAGCATCCACGATCAAAACATTACCACCAAATCGATCATGTACTTGCCAATCCTCGAGCAAAACAATTCATCAATGTCACCAAAATCGACCCAAATGCTGATTGTCTCACGGATCATAAGTTGTTAACGTCAAGCTGCAACTTCCGAATTCATCGTAGAGAGAAAGGGACAAAGCCTCCTAAAAAGTTCGACATCACATTGACGCCAGAGAAGAAGCAACGCCTGCAATCGTTTCTTGATGAGAATCTACCGAATTGTAGACACGACTGGGAAGAATTTAAAACGATTTTACAAGAAGCAGCAAAACACACCTTTGATCAAAAGAAAAAAGTAGCAAATGATTGGTTTGACGAACACGACGAAGAGATACAACGACTCCTGAAAGATAAACGCTTGAATCGGAACGGATTGCGTGAACGAATAAGACAACTGAAAAATCAATGGTTCTACGAAAGAGCTGTAGAAGCTGAACGATATGCCCAGTCCAAGAATCACCGAGAGTTTTATGCAACTGTCAACAAAGTCTATGGTCCTAGGAGCAAGTCGACTCACCCTATTCGTTCCAAAGACGGTGACCTTCTCACGTCATCCACCGATATAAAAAAGAGATGGGTGGAACACTTTGACGAACTCCTCAATCAACCTACTGATGTTGACGATAGCCTCATTGACGAAATTGAGCAGCTTCCCATTGATAACTCCCTCGACCTCCCATTAACAGAAGAGGAACTTGACACTGCACTAAAAAACACAAAGCTTGGTAAAAGCCCTGGTCCCGACGGCGTTCTTCCCGAAGTTCTCGTACACGGAGGAAATACACTGAAAGCTTTTCTCTTTGCCATAATCTCAATGTTTTGGATTACTGAGAACATGCCATCCGAAGTAACTGACCCAAACATCACTATTCTCTTTAAGAAAAGGGATCGAAGTCAATGCGGAAACTACCGTGGCATTTCCCTTCTAAGTGTTGTAGGAAAGTTGTTTGCTGACATTCTCCTGCAAAGGCTTAAACGTATAGCTGACAAAGTGTATCCCCAGTCCCAATCCGGCTACCGTGAGAACAGAAGTACCATCGACGGAATCTTTACTCTGAAACAACTGATGGAAAAAACCAGAGAGCAACGACAAAATATGTATATTGTTTTTGTCAACTTTACCAAGGCGTTTGATACCGTCAACAGAGACTTTTTGTTTAAAATCTTGGGAAAGCTCGGCTGTCCTCCAAAATTCATCAGACTTATTCAAAGCCTCTATTCCGAAGTTAATGCTCGTCTAATTGTAGATGGTGTCCTAACAGAACCGTTTGAATACAATAGTGGTGTAAAGCAAGGGTGCAAGCTAGCGCCCACCTTGTATGGCATCTACGCTGCTGTACTTCTCTTGCTCGCTTATGCAACCATTGGTCATCAATTCAGCGTAAAAATCAGATTTCGGTATGACGGTGATCTCTTCGATTTGAGTAGATTGAAAGCCAAAACGAAAACCTTTATCGATTTCATCAGAGAAGCACAATATGCTGACGATATTGCAATCTTCAGTGACTCGGCACTTGGACTACAGGTTCTATTAAACGCCTTTAATAACATGGCTAAACGAATGGGGCTTTCGATCAATATAAAGAAAACCGAGACAATGTCCATTGGTCCGGATGAGGAGTTTTTCATTGACGGTACACCAATCAAAAGCGTGAATCGTTTCAAATACCTTGGAAGCATTGTTACTAACGATTGCTCAATGAACACCGAGCTCATCACACGTATACAAGCTTTGTCTTCTGCGTATGGCAGGCTCCGTGAACGTCTATTCGACTCACATGACCTTACAATAGCGACAAAACTGAAAGTGTCTGCTCAGTGTTTAACACCACTTCTCACGTATGGTTCTGAAACCTGGACACTGTATCGACACCACATCAATCAGCTTCGCACAGTCCAGCAACGGCATTTGAGGAAGATTCTCCGAATAAAATGGAGTGACTTTGTAAGCAATGAAGAAGTACTACGTCGAGCAGATGTTGACGATATAGAAATAACACTCATTAAAAATCGTCTACGTTGGCTTGGTCATGTGTCAAGAATGAACGACAATCGTCCCGTTAAAGCTCTTATGCAGGGGCGGATCTAGGATTTTTGGTGACTATAGCTCAAATCTTTTGGGATCGGGACCACGCCCTCCTTGCTTGTGGGACACGCCCATTATATGGGCAAATGATATAACCATGTGTGTTTATAGTTGCTTCGTATTCATCAATATTCCTTCGAACATCCTTTTTTTATTTCCAGGGACGCCAGAGAAGGGGGTGTGGGGGTACAACCGCCCCTGTTGCCCTTTGGCAGAAGTGGCAAGGGTTGTTTTTAATAAAGTTCCCTTGAAACTAGCCAATTGTAGTAATCAGAGAGATTCATATAAAATTCTGAACTTCTCAAAACATGTAAAATAGTTCTATATGCCGAAAGTTAGCCAATGTTGAAGATACCTACAGAAGATCGAAATAAAATTGCAGTTGCGTGTGAATTTTTAGAAGCTGAGAATTATCTTTCAAAAGCCCTTTTACTCAAGCCTGCCCCCCCCTCTCGCCGCTTGGTCGTTCCGCCGTCCCTGTCTATTCCCTAGTAGGTCCTTGCCTTTGAAGCTACATTACAGGGGACCCAGGATGTGAAAACGAGCTATAGTCCACTGTTGCTTTACAGGGGACAGAGAGCGGAGAAGTAACGTGGATACTCATATCCTATTGGTTAAAAGGCCATTTTCAAACCTGACTATAGCTTCACTTTAGCTCGCGCCAAAAATTATAGTACGGGTTTCATTGTCTTCGATGCCTTTTCCAGAGCAAATTCCCAGACCGACTATAGCTCGGAATATCCACTGTAGCTCAATTCTGGTTGGTTACTGTCAACAAAGAACGAAACTTCTGATTCGTCTAAGTTTTAATATTAGACCATTCTGCGCTCAGTGTTTTATATTTTATCTGGAGAGGCATTGTGATGACACATTGCCAGCATTGCATGTTTGTTAATCGCATTTGATAACCTATACCGCTGCTTTCAAATGTTGATAGTAAACACTTGTGGGCATAAACATGTTTTTAGGGACTGCAAGGAAACTTTGTATTTCGAAAATCAAATCCTGAGAATTTGACTATAGCTCGAGCTACAGTTGCTATAGTCTGGATCCGCTCCTGCTTATGTATGGTCAGCTCGACAAAGGCACTCGTTCTGTTGGTCGACCGAAACTACGATATAAAGATACGTGCAAAAGCGTTCTTAAATCTGGAAGAATCTTAGGCCAATGGCAAGAACTGGTTGTTGATCGTCAACTATGGAGACGAACCATTGCAAATGTCTGTCAAAATGTGAATGCAAATCGAATTGCGATCTATGAAAGACGAAAAGAGCACCGAGCTCGAAAGAAAGTTATAAGTGGAAATTTAGGTTAAAATAAAATTTGTTTTTTGATTTAGTATTTCTAGTGTATTGCCCGTGTCGGGCTCTAGGCGTATTATTATTATTATTATTATCTCTAGTGCATTCGTTTGATTTTCCTTACCTAATCACTCTTGTTTATCTGTAACTTTTCTTGCTCGTTCCGCATTTTTCTATCACGTGTATTAGGATAATCTTTGTATTATTATGAGTAACTTCATACCTACGTCAATTATCAGCATGTTAAGTAGATCGCCATAGCAACCCAGTATTTTAGGATATCGCGCTACCCCACCCCGCTCATTACTAAGTAGATTACTTCCTTTCACCGTTTCATTTACGTATGTCTATTGTTTTTAGTTCAGTATATATGGGGGCCTCGTACCTCATCTTAGGCAGTAAGAATTATGGAAAAATAGCAGCAAGAGAAAGCAGTTTAGGCATGCACCGTTTTAGGGGCAAGATGCTTGTGAAAGATCTTGTCGCCTTCGTCGTTTTGAGATATTTATAGGAGATTTATCAGTTTTGGAAGACCTCTGGGATAGTTCTTGTGAAAGATTATGCTCATCTTGTGAAAGATTGTTAGCATGCAAGTTATGTAGCTGCCGGGACGATTTTATCGAAAGAAAAAAAGGAAAGATTTAACCGATTTACGTCGCATCATTTATTGGCCATCCTCTGCTTTTTAAAGGTCCTGAGAATCAATCGATTTAAGCAACATTTTACACTTGCAGCCTATAAAACCCTAAAAGTAATGTTTGTGCTGGTAATTGAAGCTATTATATAGTTTTTCAAAATTCAATGTACTGTTATACTGTTGATTCAGATTGTTAAAAAACAAGGTTGCTTTTTGTGCTGATTCTGCCTCGTTGATTCTACCACTTTAATTGAACTATGGTTCAGAACATAAAGGGTTTGATCGCACTGCATGCCAAGCATTCCTCTCTTGATAGAAGGCTGAGATTTTCAAAGAGACAGAAATGCTTATCTCTGTAGAAATTTCGTGATAGATAGAGGGGGGTTCGTTATGGAGCGGATTCAGGCAGCATTCGGCAGAACCAGCCTGTTCAGCCGAGTCACTAGCCCGCCTCCAACTCATATAAAACTATTTACAACGTATATTTACCAGCATAGCGTGATTTTCGAACTTCCACTGTAAAGACCTTACTCGCGAACAGGGGCGCCTACACAGGGGGCTGGAGGGACAGCTGCCCTCTTTGAAAAGGGGCAGAGAAGACTAGAAGTGCCCTGAAATATAAGAAAACACTAAAGGATAGTATCGATAATGACCACTTGATGTTAATATCTATTAAAAAATATTAGAAAGATGTTAACACCAGCACAAAAACGCAAAGGATAAAAAGTTTGTCTGTGACAAGGTCAACCACAAGAGAGAGAGCGACAAAGATAGTAGATGATAAACAAACGATGTGTTCCCTCATAAGTACTCCAGGAACCTAAGGAGGATAAATCGGTATAAAAACTTAGCGGACATCAAAATTTTACAACCAGTCCATTCATAACAGCCATGATTTTTTAAAAAACCAAACATTGTGAATAGTGACAAGGCTATTTAATACCCATTTTTATGTATAGATAATTTTGTCGACATTTTCTTTATGTTTAGAATCTTTGGTGGTGTTATAGAGCTAAATTTAGGAATTTCACTTGGCTTTTTTGTATACGATACGTAGGTATTTTGTATGTTATATAGATTATTAGGATATCCCCCTTGTGCACGCGAGAGATGATCCGAAGACTGAAACTTCAAAGAATGCCGGTTTCTTGCGAGCGGCTATACTTTTTTGAAAAAAAACATTCTAGTCTAAAGTAGACTTTCCCAAAGTCATTTTTTTTAAATCCGTAAGGAATTCGTACTACTGCGAGAGCATATCTAAATTGCGGAGGAGACGATTCCACACCTACTCCCCATATCAGCGATACCTACTTCCAAATGGCCTCAAGGGAATGTGGAGGTGGAAAGATTCAATCAGCTATTTCGAAAAGCATTGAAACTGCTACAATTGAAGGAAAGATGTGGCAGCAAGAATAAAATCGTTTTTTGTTGCAATACCGCGCCATGCCACACAGTAGAGCCAAAGTATCTCCTGCGGAGTTACTGTACAACAGAGCAGTTCAAGGAATGTTACCTTCGCTGAAAAACACAACGTTATTAATGGACACAAAGAAGAATGAACTTTCAAGTCAGGCATATAACAAACTTTACGCAGACAAAATACGAAGTTAGGGGTCGGGAGCACAGGCGATTCCTTTGCTTAAAAAGATTGGGCGTGTGACATCTTGTTTTATTTGTACCTAACTGAAAGAAAGTTGTGTACTTTGAGTCGTCGATACGACCTTACCCTTTAAGTATCTTCTTCAGACTACGATGCAAATTAAATGGCGTTTTGACTTTGAATCTACGAGAATTGTGATTTAACGTAGCGCAGGAATACTAATCTTTCTATTGCTTCTTTTTTGCAGATTTTATGACGATTGGCATATCAACAATTGAGCGCAAAAAGGACGGTAAACGATATAGCTATCTATCTAGGACGCTGAACAGTTTGATTTCGAAAATGCCAACAGCAGCAAAAATGGAAGTGGTCATTGTGATATTGTGTGCAAACAGAGATTCGGACGCTAACCAAAGAACCTACAAAGAACTTCAAAATACTTTCCACGAGCTCATTGTCAAAGGATTTCTACAAGTCATAGTCGCACCCGAGCGGTTCTATCGCAGTTTGGAAAACCTGCCAAAAACATTTAATGATTCTTCATTGCGAATGAAATGGCGGAGCAAGCAGTCGCTTGATTACGCTTTCTTGTTGTATTACTGCCATGGCCTAGGCGAATATCATCTCCAAATCGAGGACGATGTTGACATCGAGGCGGGGTACTACGAGAAGCTCAAAAGCGACATTGTTACAACCAAAGTACCATGGGCAATATATCAGTATTATAAAATGGGATTCATCGGAAAGCTCTTCAAGTCTCAATACTTGCAGTTAATTGCAAACATTTTTAGGATATATTACTTCGAAATGCCTTTGGACCTTTTATACATTCAGCCATTCATCCTTTCTAATCTTAAAAACAGGCAAAAAATTGCAAGTAAATTTTTGTTCCATCATATTGGGAAACAGTCTTCATCCCAAAATTCCGACATCTATTAAAGTACAGAAAAGTATTGCCAAATTTACTGATATTTACACTTAGGCCCCTAAAATGCTTTCAAAGTCGACTGACACACTTTTCAGCATCTTAACTCGTGTACTAGGTTTATAGACTTTGCTTTTTTGTAATTTAATTTGCATAAAAGGCGTTCTCGTTTTGTAAACTATAGTCTTTTTCGCTTATGCGCCCGCCCAGTTTCTTTTGTCTTGAATATGCACATCTCGCTGTTCTTATTCGCTCCAATTCAAACTTTTTACCTCTTTAGTGATGATGCATCTTAATTGATTTCATACGACTGTTTCGGATCTTGGACTATGGTCGTTTTTAAAAATTGACTGAAGAATGCAAACAAATAGAAGCTAGAAGGTCTAGGGGCAAAAATCAGTATTCTTACCCCTTTGCCCTTCCTCAAATATTTTTTCAAATTTTGAAATAAAATGCAGAAGATTTTCCGCTAAACCCGCTACTCCAAACAAAACTCAATAATTTTATATAAATTGTTTGAATGGCCTAAACACAAAACAAATAATCGAAAATCGATGCTTTTTGAAAATCTCCACCGAAGTCTTTTTTAATTTTCTAATTTCATTTCCCATATCCATGTTAAGTGTTTACGCAAGAAGAAACATGTTTATGGAAGCCCTAGCACATCATAACTCCATCATTCCTTTATCAATAATTGCAGAGAAAGTAACTTAAACACACGTAATAGTGATAAAAAACAATTACTGCACACGTGTCATTCTTCTCCACATTGCCCAACTTTGCTACATGTACGAACATTCAATTGTCACTAGTTTTCGTCTTGAAACCGAATCAGCAAAAATAAGGAAACTTAATACTTCGCAAAAGTTTTAGTCTGTTTTTGCTCAATTTGGGTCTCAAAAGGTCAAATTTTTTGCTACCAATTGAATTTGATAGTAATAATGATTATAATAATATTGATGATAATGTAATATGTTATTATTTACAGGTTTACTTGGACAGCTAACGTAGGCTGTTATAATCAAAAACCTGTATCCAACGTAAAGAAGTGAAATCTATTACTAAATTTTAAAAAAGTTCTTATAAAATGGTTTTGAAAAAAGCAAACATTTCACAACAAGCTCTTTTGCTTTTTCAAAACATTTTAAAGTTTTGTACCACCAAGAAATTGTTTCTTATAAATTAAAATCAAAGCCATTACATCTTTGTTCTTGAAATCTCACAACTAAATTTTCATTTTCAGAACAGATTGCTATCTATCTTTCATTGTACACCTTGACTAACTAACAGCTTTTGAGCGGCTTCTGTTCCTATGCACCACAAGCAGGGCCGTCGGGAGGCAAGCCTTGTTCAGAGGGTGTCGTCTACGAAATTTACTTGATTAAAAAT